TACAATTAAAATGTTGTTCTTATCAAATGCTAATCTGTTACTCTAATTGTAATGAAAAATTTCCGAATTGAAATTCTCTTTCTTTCAATAAGCTAATTTTTCCAGCCATTTCAAATTGCTTGACTTGAGAGAAATACAGGTTTTTCCATTTAAATAAACTAGTTTATTCAATGCTGCCTGTTGCTCAAGTCACCATTTAGGATTTAGTTTGTTGGACTTTTCAATTAATCTAATTACTCAAAAATACATAGCTAGACAGAGAAGGCTATTCATAAGCTGTTACCAGAGCCATGAAATATTGCTATGAATGTCTGTAGGTTATATATGTTCCATGATGAAAAAGAAATGACAGATGAACATGATATTTATGATGCTCCCAATATTTTGAAAGCTGTAGCTGACTAGTTTCAAATGAGTGATTTAGAGTCCGGGGCATTTAAATGTTTGGATAATATTTTTCAGGACTAAAAATAGGTCTAACATTGAGCCTGATGTCATCACATTTTACAGAGAAGTTCTTGAGGCAGAGAATCAGTGGTTGAATATACGTTCTCAACATTTCTTGCAAAATGTTCTTTTCCAATGATCTTCTCAAAAGAAAAATTTTTAATGGATTATTATTACAGTTCTAGAAATTCAGAATGTATGAGAATGTCATCTCTTTTTCAAAACTGTAGAGCAGACAATTTCATGAATCTGAAACTTAGGTTTCCTGACTCCAGTCAGATTATGAGTTCTAGTCCCAGTTCTGTCACAGTCAAACACTAATTACCTGATACATCAGTGTTTCTATTTCTTCATTTGTAAATTGAAAAAAAAAACATTTTCTTCAACTTGTTTCATAGGGCTATTATTATATTATATGAAACAGAACTTGTTAAAATAATTGGAGCTTGAAAAAAGAAAGATGAGTCATAAATCAATGCTATAATTTTACAACACTATATATCCCTCCAGACCAGAAACTTTTTCCTAAATAAGAACAATGAACATAATTAATAGGAACAGACTTTGAAAGATAAATCTGAGTATCTTTGAATATCAATTTTCACTTTTAAACTATAAAGATCTTACAATTTAATGAGAAACATCTGGCATAGAAATTGGAATTGAAAACAAATATTAGTCTTATTTCCAACATTGTTACATTAAATGGATAACAACAAACATCAAAAATAAGTTTATCATCCATTTCCAATTACTGAGACAACCCAAGACTAGACTCTATGAAACCTGATCGCTGATTAGGGTAGGATAAGAGAGAAGGGAAAGTTAAGAATTACCTTGGAGACTAAATTGATGGAGGCTGATGTCCTCAAGAAACAGTAAATTAGTAGTAGTGTAACTTGGGTGAATGGGGATAGGAATGTGTATGTCAAGCTACAAGCTTTGACCTTAGTTTTGAACATGCTAGAAATGTTCTTTAAATTTGTTACATTCCAATTATATTTTGGAGGGGCTTTACCTAACCACATTAGCTAGAAATTGAGACCTTGCTATCTTTGAGGAGACCTTAAAATAATCTTTATTCTTTACTATATGGTAGTTAAAAAGAATGAGATACATCTATATGTAGTGAAACAGAATAATGTCCTAGATATATTTGGAAAAACAAAGTACCCAACATGAATATAGTATGCTCCCCTTGGTGAAAAATAAAAGTGATATATGTTTATATATTCCTAAACTCATTCTGGAAAGATACAGAAAAATGGGTAATGTGTTGCCTCACAGGAAGGGATCTGGAGGTTACAAGAGGGAGAGAGACTAATTTTACTCCTTACTCTAAAATCTACATTTTCTGATATGTATATAGCCATTTCAGCTTTCTTTTGAATAATGTTTGCACAGTATATGTCTTTTTCTCATCCTTTTACTTTTAACCTGTGACTTCATTTTAAAGAGAATTTGTTGGAGGCAGGGGAATAACTGCAGCTTGCTTTCTCACTAATCATTCAATCAACATTTATATTGTTGGATTGCAATCTACCATCCTGACTTATTTTTTTTCTTATTTTCTCCTCTGTTCTCCTGCCTTCTTTTAAAGTAGCTGAGCATTTAAAAATGATTATATCTTGTTTTTGGCTTATTAACTATAAATCTTTGTTCCATAATTTTTTTAGGGTTTACATGTGAAGAGATAATGAGGTAATTATGGGTATTGGTATTTTACCAATGAAGGAAAAACATCTTACTGAAAGAACAAATATTTTAGAACCCATATTTGCCTGACTCTAAATTACAAATTAATATTTCAAGTACAGATGTACCAGACTCCAAAGCAAACACAGTAATATTAAGAAAATTATGGAGTAACTTTTCAACTTTGATATAGTAAAAAATCCATAAAAAGACATTTAGGTTAAAAACTGAATTGCTGTTACATTTTAAATTATTGACCATATACATGAAGATTGTCAAAAGGGTCAAATCATAATAGCCAGAATCTGGGAATAAATTCAAGAATCACACTCTCTGAAACAGAATAATGAAGAAATTAGCTACCTATAGAAATTAGATACGTATATCATTAAGGCAAAGCTTCAAAATATTCTGTTGATAATATAAGTGAGTAATGCAAACTTCCTTTCTGGTATTATAACTGACCTGTGCCTGATTGAAACAGACAGGATTTGAAAATACATGTGCCACTTAAGAGGGTTTGGGAGACTTTCACCCCCCTTGCAATTGCTAATACGCCCTTGAAATAAACTCACAACTTAAATAAGAATGGGCTTAATAAAACAGTGCAGTTTTAAGACAATTCCCCATCCTCCACTTTTAACTGTAAAACAACTTTGACATCAAAATTCTAGAACTTTCGGGCCTCCCCCGTGGCGCAGCGGTTGAGCGCTGGGTTGCGAAGCTGCCCGCAGCCTCTGCAGCGCCAGTTCTGCAGCGCCGGTTCGATCCCCCGCTGCTCCCCGGCCACTGGAGGTAGGTTCCACATGGCACGCAGACCTCTCCTGCCGCCCGCTGCTCCCCTCAGCAGTGTATTTCATCAGTCTGCCTGTTCTGTTCTCCGCTCTAGCTCTGGTGAATTCTCTCACCCTCCCGCGCTTCTGATTGTACCCAGTGCTTGTATAAATAAATAAATAAATCTTAAAAAAAAAAAATTCTAGAACGTTCATTATTTGGGGAAAAGAATGAAAACAAAAAAGATGCCCTACCAAATGAGGTAGAGATTCTAGTCCCCTTCAAAGTTTAATTCCTATAGTACTTATTATACTCATCTATATCATATACTCACATAGTCACTTTGAGGAAGGGAATTAATGGAATGATACCATCAAGCCAGCCTTACCAATAGTTATTTTGTTAATTAATTTATTAATAGCATATAATAAATTTGACCAATTTTTAGTGTAATTAGATAAATTTTAGTAACTGCTTTTATCATTTTGATGCTAGCACTACTATCAAGATGTATAACAGCTGCCTCACCCTAAAACGTCTCTGCAAGTCCTTTTGCCCTTGATGACCTCACCTCACCCTGACTCCAGGAAACAATGCTACCCTTTTTAGTATCTGTAATTTTGCCATTTCTAGATTTTCATATAAATGAAATAATTCAAAATATCATCTTTTGTCTTTGACGTCTTTCACTTGGGCTGTTTCAGAAATTCACCCATGTTGCTGTCTGTATTGCCAATCTGCCCCAGGATTGTTTATCCAGTTACCAGCTGATGAAGATTTAGGTTGCTTTCTGTGCTCAGCTATTGTGAATCATGCTGTTATGAACATTTACATACACGCTTTTGCATGGACATGTGTTTGTTTTTTCTCTGGAGTAAATATCTAGCAGTGGAATCACTAGGTCATAAATTAAAGTATGTTTAACTTTGTAAAGTACTGTAAAGCTGTTTTACAAAGAGGCTGTACCATTTTTGCACTCCTATTAACAATGTACTAGAGTGTTTTAGCTGCTCCATACCCTTGATGACTTAGTATTATCAGTCTTTATCACATCAGCTATTCTAGTGGGCATGTACTTGTATGTCTTTATGGTGTTGATGTATCAAGCAAAGTTTTGATGAAGGAGTTACATTTCCAATGTGTGTTTTTCTATTGGTAAAAGAATGAGTTGAATTGCATAATTTCTTCTTCTTAATAATTTCTCCATGATTTTTCACATTGCTTCAACCTAAAGCCTGATGCCTACCCAGAAGACCTAGCCAGAATCAGTAAGGTATCCTACCTCTCTTATCTCCTTTCTTTCACTCTACCAATTGTCTGCTCTTCCAACTATCTACTCCCTTTACAAAAATATGTGTTAATTTTGGAAATTAACATACTATAGAAAAGTCTATAGAAGAAAAATATTCAATTTTACCACACAGAGCATATCACCATCAACATGTTGATGAATTTTTTTTCAGACCACTCTTTATGTAAAATAGTAATAGACTAGGTCACTATAGTGGACAAGTTGATTCTTACAACAACCAAGTGTGATAGATCATTTTTTAATCTCACAATATATAATAAAACTAAAGAAAAGAATGCTTCAATAATTTGTCTCAAATTACAAAGCTTAAAAATTACAAAGCTTGCTAATATTCAAGCTGAAAGTGTCTAACTCCAGAGTGCAAGTACTTAAGCAAAATCCTGCCCTGTCTCACACATGTGGGTGTATTCTTTGTATATTAATGCAATCATAATATATCCCATGTCTATATTTATATGCTAGTGAATATAGGTCTGCATCACCTTATGAAATAATTGCATCTTTTTACTGTATAGCTGTGCAGTGGCGCACTTATTGTCAAGATATACCATGGTACTGAATTTAACCAATCACTTAATTATTGATAGTTAGCTTGTTGTCTGTTTTTCAGTATTGTAAACAACACTCAAGGAACATTCTAGTGTATGTGTCTTTGTATTATTGTCCAATTAACTATTTCCTTAAGGTAAATTCTAGGAATGAGAATGCTTATTTTACATAGATGCACATTAAGGATTTAATGTGTAGTCCCTTCAGAAACAGTTGTACTTACTCTGCAGTAACTGAGAATAAAACTGTTCCTTCCCCCATATTCTTGCCAATGAGTTTTTGTTATTTTTAAATCTTTGCTAACCTGAAAGAAATAATATCACATTGTTATTTCATTTATTTATTAACAGCGCTAAATATTTATTTTTTTTAAATATATAAGAAATGTACACATATTCATCTACAATAGTCAAAAACTATAGGTATTTATATACTGAAAATAGAAGTCCTGTCTTGTATTTTTCTTGTCAGAAGCATCGTTGTAATGGTTTAGCATATAACTTTCCAGAGCTTTTAATATCTACTTACACTTTTATGCATATTAAAATTTCATTTGGTACAATGGAAATATTTTCTGCAGCCTGCTTTTTCTCCTTGAAAATATGTCTTAAAGACCTTTTGGTTTTTCTTTAAGTGTATAACAGTATTTTTCTGTGTGGAGGCACCACAATTCAACTAGTTCTGTTGAAAAAAAATTTAGGCTTATTGGCCTCCCTGGTGATGCAGTTGTTAAAGTCTTAGCACTATGAAGCTATTGCCAGCCACTGCTGCATGAGTTCAATCCTTGGCCAGGGAGCTAACCCACATGGCACAGCAGACCTCTCCTGTCTGGCCTGCTGCTCCCCTCATTAGTGTATATCAGTAGATCTGCCTGATCTGCTCCCCATTCTGTCTCTGGTGAATCCTCTCACCACCTCCCGAACCTCTGGCCTATACCCCAGTTCTTGTATGCATAAATACAAATAAATCTTTAAAAAATTAGGTTTATTACACATAATTTTTTGGTCAGTATCTATTAAATACTCACTGTATGTTCTAGAACTGATAAAACATAGCCCTTGTCCTGATGTGATTTCCATTATGTAAGTAACTGCAGTACATACTCTTATACATTTTAAGTGCAAAATATTTCTGTAGGAAAGGGTATAGCATTTAAAATTTTGATAAACAAATATGTAACAAGTAATTAATAGATATTAGTTGAGTAAAGATCATCTCTAATAAGCAGATATGCTTCACTTAGTGTGCACAGTAATTGCAATTTTTAAAATTAGTTTCCAACATCAAATCAAGGCGTTAACTAAAATGAAGACTTCTGTCATCTCATAAAGACTGGAAAATCTGGTAATGTTAGTTATATATTTTCATGGGACAGCTAGAGTCAAGTAATAAGAATATAACAGTCTGCCATGGTCCTCACCATTCCAAATAGTCTTATATCAGGTCATTTCACTCATTTATGTCACCTGCCTGACTTTCATAGCTTTTGAATGTGTTATTCTCCATTATGGAATAAAGAAAAAACATACCTAAAAGGAACAGAATGACTCTTAGTCTTAATGTTATTTAACAATGATTTCAAACAACATATTACTTCATGTAATATAAAAATTCATGTCTTTCAGAAAAGATTTGTCAGGTTGGAAGCACAGAAAACGGAGATTCAGGAAGTAAATGGTAACAGTATCTTTCCCGCCAATGACATTAGCTAAAATAAGCAGCTAATTACGTGAGAGGCAGGTAGACTATAATACTTACACACAAAGCTTTAGAGCTAGACTACTTGGGTTGAATCTGGTTCTTCCACTTGTTAACACCAAGACTTTGTGAAGCGCACGGCCTGAAGGTTTGTGTCATCTCAAAAATCATGTTTTGAAGCCCTAGACCCCAAATGTGGTGGCATTTGGTGGAGGGACTTTAAGGAAGTAATTAGGTTAGGAGGTTGGACCTTCATGAATGGGATTAGTGCTCTTACAAGAGAAGTTCTCCACCATGAGTAGGTATAGCCAGGGGTCTGTCTGCAAGTCAGGAAAAGAGCTCTCACCAGAATCTGACCACACTAAAATTATTCTGATGTTGGAACTATATGAAACTAAAGAACTGTAAGAAATAAATGACTGTAGTTTAAGTTACCCAGTCTATGGTATTTTTTAAAGCAGCCCAAACTAAGACAGGCAGGTCATTAAACTTGTTTGTGTTCAGTTTCCTCATTGGCAAATGGCAATAACAATGTATCCTACTTCATAGGTGTGCTGAGATATTTAGTTACTATATATAAAACTCTAGAAGACCTCCTCTCCCACCTACACTGTCTTTATTATTATATAGGATCAGACACTCACACCAGGATGCCCTTAAATTTATTCTGCAAATAATTACTTAATTCCATTTTTCCTAAATTCTCATCAGGTATCCTCCCTGTATGACATGACTTTATATGACTTTGTATCTCACTGGTTTGAGATATAAATCCTCTCAGGGTCTCCAAGGAGTAACTACCTGTAGCATTTTTTTTATTTGATTATCTAAGTCTTAATCAATTAGTACATCATCTACATTTGCTGCCAGGAAAGCAGAATTCAGTGACAGCTTGCAACTTTTTATTACCAGCAACAGTGTTTGGCTAGGGATAGTTTGCCTTAAGTAAACTGGCAAGGGATAGAGGTTTTTTTGAGGCTAATTTTCTGTTCACCTGTTTTGTTGACTCCACAAATAATCCATTGCCACTTATATGTAACAGTTTGAGACTGCAGGAAGTGAGTTAAAAATACCTTTGAAAAGTGAATCTATGGCAAGTCGTTTCAACATATTATAACAAGAATTGCTTTAGATTATATTGATATAAAATCTATTAACTTGTTGACATTGATGGGACTGCAATTACCTTTATCTATGTAGGAAACTATGCTTACAGGGGTCTTGCTAAATCAACTTTTCTTGAAACGTGGGCAAATCATTTATAAGCAAATGACTATTGCTAGTTAAAAGTAAGTTTTCCCTATTATCTTGTGAATATACATACTATACTTGCTTGTTGATATCTTAAAGTAAAGCTTATCATAGGGACCAGTTACAAAGAGAAACAAAAACATCAAAATCCTAAGGACACAGTTTTAGGAAGATAATCTCAGTATTTCTCTCCCCAGAAGAGGAGGATTTGAAGAGGTGTTTAAACGTATTTCATCAAAATTACTCAGTATGTTATTTCCTAGTATCTCATGAAAAATGATGGCAAACAGAGCCACAGTAACCCACCTGGTACTGATTTTCTTCATTTTGACTTTCCATGACCTGGATAATCTGATATCATCCAATCCACACAATTTACCCTTTCTTGAATACACCCTTATAACACATCAGTCTGGCCTCCACACTGCTACTAAACACACACATTCCCATGTAGGGAAGAAAAAATTCTTTTCTACTCTTAGAGTTTTTAGCTACGCCTGAGAATTAAACTGACATAATACAGATGAACAGGAAAAAGCATACACATTTTATTAAAATTTCTTGCATGTACACAGAAGCCTTCAAAAGAGGAAACCTAAAAAAAAAAATGGTGAAACCTACACAATTTTATAGATTTTTGCAAAGAGAGGCAATTATGAAAAGTAACTAAACTACGGAGAGGCTAAAGACAAGAATTATTGTAGTAAGGTCTTTTTGTACAAATTTCCTCACCTTGATTCCCTGCTTCCCTATTTTTGGTGATCAGACTGTCTTCTTATCTCCAGGTAGAAGGAGGGCATGTTTCATATGGAGATTTTATCTCCTGCTGTCAGAAATAAAAAGGATGATCAGAGTGTCCTTCTTGCATCTATTGTTTCTAGAGTTCCCTTAACTTAAAATCATCTATATGCCAAAGTAGTGTATTTTGCAGTGACACATTCTAAACTCCTTCACCTGCCTTGTTGCCTTTGTTTGTAAGGTCCACATATTGCTGCTGTTCAATTCCACTCATTTTCAAGCCCTGAGTTTATTATAGCATTTACCATACAGATTCAACTCATGGAACTCTTGCCATATGCATTTCATAACCCATTACTTTAGAAATATGCCCTCTAGTATTGTGAATATTTGTTTTATGTATTTCCAACTAGACTGTAAACACCTTGATTCATTTGATAAATGCACACAAATGCAGAACTTTAAAATTGCATCATGTTAGATGCTGACACTTGGATGTACTAGCACTGTCCACACACCTATACCAACAGGAGTGGGGTTAATAAGAACATTGCAGTATTAAAAAACTGAATGCTTACAATTCTAAACTCTTTACATATATTATCTAACTCACAAAGGATGATGTTTTCTTTCTCTCACATCCCACATCTAATCATATATTTTTTAAAGATTTATTTATTTATTTATTTATTTATACAAGCACTCGGTACAGTCAGAAGTGCGGGAGGATGAGAGGATTCACCAGAGACAGAGCAGGGAACAGAACAGGCAGACTAACAAAGTACACTGCTGAGGGGAGGAGCGGGTGTCAGGAGAGGTCTGAGTGCCATGTGGGACCCTCGCGGGAAGCCAGGAAGTGAGCCCTGCGCTGCAGAGGCTGCGGGCAGCTTCTCAGCCCAGCACTCAACCGCTGGGCCACCGGGGAGGCCCTAATCATGCAATTCTATTGGCGTTACCTTCACAATAGAGGTGGAATCCTCCCATTTCTCGCTAAATTCACTAGCATTATCTTGGTTCCTGGCCCCATCATTTCTCTCCTGGACTCCGGCAAATTACTCCTAGAAGCGTATTCTCAAGAGAACACAATGTAAGTCATATTTCTGTTCAAAACTCTGCAACAGCTAATCATTTCAAGTACAAGACAAAGTTCTTCACGTGCCACATGGTCCGATATATATGATCCTTCTTCCTCCATCGCTAACACTTTATTTCCCACTGTGTTGCTTGTCCTGCTCTAGTCACACTGTCCAATCCTGTTCTTCCACGAACACATGATGCACCTAGAACCCCAGCTGTCGTTTTCCCCTCTGCCTCATATACACCCCCGGCCACATGCACAGGTAACTCCACTCCTTTAAGTGGGCGCAGTTCGCTTCTCCAGCACCTGCCACCTTAACGTCTGTTTAATTCTACCCCTTCCCTTCCAACTCCTTCCCGATCCTCGCAATCTCTTTTTTTTTTATAGCAGGGATTACTTTTTAGCAAATTATATAATTGCAGCGCTTCATACTGTCTGCCTCCCCAACCTCACAAACAGCTCCTGACCCCTGTTTTGCTCAAGGCTGCACCCCGGGGCCCGGAAGCGGGGCTCCAGGTACAGACAGGCGCCCCGGCTCGCCCTGGCTGACCTGCGGGGTCGGCTGTTCTCTCCCGGGCTGCGCTCTTCGGGATGGGCCTTCCCCGACCCCGCCGCTCCTGTATTACACAGGGTCGAAGCTACGGGGAAATCAAAGGTCAGGGGGCGCGCGTCACATTTGGGTTTCGAGGACACAGGAAAATGGAGCTAAAAAAAAAAACACCACTAATCGGTGCAGTTAGTCTCTTAGCGCGGGCTAAAGAAGTCGGGGCAAACTTCCTCTCTTCTGAGGTGACCTTGAACACTTTCCTGCGCAAACAAGCTCGAGGCCACCTGACAACGCGCCCTTCCCGTCTTCTGGCGGCTGCAGCGCCTCACTCAGGTGGGCGGGCCGCGCCCCAACCTGCCTTGCCGGGCCGGGCCAGGCGCGGGGACCGGGCGCCGACATGGCGCAGGCGCGGCTTCAAGTGGCGCGCAGGGTGCGCGCCGGCGGCGGGCGACACGCGGGCGCGGGCGCGGGCCCGGGCGCGTCACAGCGGCGGCGACAGCGGCCCCGCCCCGCCCCGCGCACGCGCACGCGCCGACATGAGGGTCGCGGCTCTGATCAGGTAACGCGGCGCCGGGCCGTCCGCTCCCTCCCGGCGGCCGCGCGTCTCCGCCCGCGGACGGGCCTGAGCTGCCGCGGCCGCCGCCGCCCGCGCGGGGGAGAGGGCGCCGCGGCCCGGCCGGGTTCGGGGGCGCGGCGGCTCCTCCCGATCGCAGGAAGAGGCGGAGCCTCAGGCGGCGGCGCGGCGGGTCGGGCTCGGCGCCTCCGGCCCCCGGCTCCGGGCTCGGCCCGCGGCCCCGCGGCGACCCTGACGCGCCTCCCGGCGCCGACAGGTTTCTCGGGCGCGGCCCGCCCGGGCGCTTGAAAGCTGTGAACAGTCGGAGCCGCCGCTCGGGCGCGCCGCCCTCGCCGCCCGCCCCTTCCTCTCGCTCTCGTGCTCCTTGGGGTCCCGCCGGCAGCTCGGGGTCCGGCTCCCAGAGCCCTGCCCCCCATCCCCCGGGGGCTCGGGGTTGCCCCCGGGGCGAGAACCGTACACTCCGGGGAGGCCCTGCTGCCCGCAGGGTGGATGCCCTTTTACCGGTGTCGTTCCAGACCCATTCGCTGCTGCCGCGGACACGCAGGGTCGCTTTTAGGGGGACCTTAGGACGTCCCCCTCTGTGCTCGGAAGAGCTGGACAGCTGCAGCACTTCATGTTTAGGTGTATGAAAACCCCGACAGGCCAACTTAAATTTTTGCAAAGTCAGTCTAAACTGAGGCAAGGAAACAAGGGAACGCAGTAACTCTAAGTGGGGCGCTTAGACTGCTTGAGGAGTTGATGAATTTGACCCTGTGGTGTCTGACGCTTCACAACCACTTCTCTTTGGTGAACCTGCTGAAGATTTCATAATCATCGTTGGGTGTCCTGGAGAGTTCGTGGTGACCGGCGATGTTAAAGACTTTTGATGTAACAGTCTAATCCCTTCTGCAGTGACTACAATACTCCAATTTATTTAACTTCAATGCGTTTTATAAGAGACTAGTCTATGATGTGAAAATAGTTGTTATTCAGTGAGTTTCTTCTGTAAAGAGAGTGATTAAGCTTTGAACACCGTGGCCTTCACTTGATCTAGATAGATAAAGACTAAAAAAATAGTCCAGGAAATGAGGAATTCACATCCATAGTTTGCCAAAAGTTTAACCATTAGTCACCAACTGAAGGTTCAGCTCTCTTGACAGGAAAGAGAATGGTATACCCCATTACTCTAAATATTCTGCAATGTGTATCTATTACTTACACAATAAAAGGCATGTTTTAAAAAGGCCATGTTGGAAAATTCTTCACTGTAAGGTCTGTGTAAACGTTAGACATACTGTGAGTATTACACACATCATATACATTTGCATACATTTACATTAGCATATATGTGAATTTAAGCTTCAATACAGTCTATTTGCAATATAGCTTTTATTTGTGTGTGTGGACTGAAATGAGTTGGGATATGCATATTTTTTGAAATAAGTGAAACCAAGGCCCTTATATATCTCCCTTATATCTCTTTACACTGTAAAGAAAATTATTTTCCTAGTACACACAGACTGAACCATTGAATTTTACAGTTGAATGATACCTTGAGGACTAAGTAGGCCATTCTCTAATTTTATAATGAAGCATATAATCCCAAGCACTTTGAGTAATGTCGTATCACAGACCTGGGAACTGAATTTCTGATCTGTAAAACTTCTCATCTTAACACATGGTAATGTATTTTGTGACAATCTAAGTGGTAAGGTACTTGGTATATTACAAACTGATTTGACCTTGAAAGCCTTTTGTTCTTAGAATAGTTTTTAGACCCCCGTAGGAAACAGAAAATAATTTGGGAAATACTATTTTAAAACACTTAAAACCTTAGCATATTTTAAAATATATATATTATAATCTGTAATACTCTAAATAGCTAAAGATTAGTCAGATCTTTTTTCCTGGGGAAATAAGGTAGTGAGGTTTAATAAGGAAAGTCTGAAGATTTATTTAGCAGAATATCACATTCTACAGAAAGAGAGTGTGATGTGTAACTTCCGTTTGCCTTTTGCTGTCTCTCTTTTGAGAAGTTATGGAATGATAGTTGTTTTTGATCACAGCATGGTGGAGGCAGACAAACATTGGAAACTAATATAAAAAAGACTGATTCTTAGAATAATCAATCTTTTTGTTTCATGGGCTACAAATAAATCTAAACATTCCTGGGAGTACATTTTTAGATCTCAAGCGAAGATAGAAAAGGCGGGGAACAGGAGGAAAAAGTAAAAGAAAGAGAGGCAATGATAAAAGAAAGAGACTGTATAGTGAGGAGGCATAGAACATTAAACTAAAATAGCAGAGGTTGCCATTCAAACTTGTTACAGATGAACTACCCCTGCCTTGATTTAGTGACTTCCCTGTACCTTACATATATTTGGTAACAATTTAGTTTCCTTTCAATTTGTTTATTACATTCATGGCGTAAGCCTTATCCTGCCATCACATATAGAGCTGGGGTACTGATAATACTGAAATTTAACTTATCAGTGTAATTTATTTTGCTTTCTATCTACAGAATTTGAACCCACCAAGTGTATCAAACTTTATCATTAGATTGGATCTCAAATCTTTAATTTGATCCTTTAATTGGTGATGGTGACCAATTGTTAGATTTCTTATCATGAAACAGATTTTTTTTCTATTTTTCACATAGAATTTCACCTAAGGAGCATATAAAATAAGTATTTAGCTGGACTATAAAATTAATATTTTTTATTTCTTTTTTTTTTAAAGATTTACTTACTTATTTATTTATTTATTTATTTATTTATTTATACAAGCACTGGGTACAGTCAGAAGCGTGGGAGGGTGAGAGGATTCACCAGAGCCAGAGCAGGGAGCAGAACACGCAGAAGGACCGAAGTACACTGCTGAGGGGAGTAGCGGGTGGCAGGAGAGGTCTGCGCGCCATGTGGGACCCTTCACCAGGCAGCCGGGGATTGAACCGGAGCTGCAGAGGCTGTGGGCAGCTTCGCAACCCAGTGTTCAACTGCTGCGCCACCGGGGAGGCCCAAAATTAATATTTTTTAAAAGCACTTTGCATATGAAATAGAGTCAATATCACAAACCAAAAATATATTTTGTTTAGAATCGTCTCCATTATAATTTCATAAGACCTTGTGATTAAGCAAGCTTAGACATTTAGTTCATTTGTTCAGTTTGCGTTTGCTGTGGAAATTATATGTGGCTCTTTTTTTGCATTCTAGTTATAAACCAGTCCTTCAAATATTCGGAAATTCTGTATACATCATTAGTTGTATTTTGATATCTAATGATTCTGTGTTGACTAGTGGTCATTTCTCTAATATTTATCTCTTTATTTTTTAGTGGTGGAAAAGACAGCTGTTATAACATGATGCAGTGCATTGCTGCTGGGCATCAGATTGTTGCTTTAGCAAATTTAAGACCAGCTGAAAACCAAGGTATGTGTATACCTTTATTGGGAAATTTCTCTAAACAACCGAAACTACAATTTTATAATTATGTTCTATTGTACGTGGTAGGCAAAGACAAAGGCGCCAATATTTATTTAGCACCTATTAGTTGTAAGGTTTTATACTAAGTGTTTTCACTTACATATCCTTTAATCCTCATAAAAACACTTAGATAAGAGTTTTATTAGACAGAGATACTGAAGCTCTGAGTTTTATAAGTTTGTCCAATGTAAAATAGCTAAAACAAACTTGGAGAGCTGAGACTTGAACCGTACTACTTCAGAGGGCACTGCCATGGCAGCAGAACACAGCATATTCCCTATATATACAGGCCATCTCTAGGTAAATAAGATACAGTCTCCTGCCTCAAGAAGCTTAGGAATTAAGACAAATATTGGTAAGTGATATATATGAATTTTATTGTTAGAAGGATCCAGTTTAGCCATCTTAACATGTAGGCTAAATGTGTGAGACTCTAGAGGCCTAACACAATGCATTTTTACTTTTTATTTGTGGTAACAAGAACATCTTCAAACAATGCACAGACCTCATTTTAGGTACTTTTTTCAGTTTTCTCCCCAATACAGTTTCCTCAGTTGGGAAATCTCCCCCCCTTGTCCATGTTTATATCCAGATTTCCCCCTTTTATGACACTAGTCCTATTGGATGATTTGACCGCATGCTAACAATTACGCTTATGTTGACTCTGATTCCAAATAAGGTCACATTTCTGAGGTACTGGATGCAAGTTTTTGAACATAAGAATTTAGGAGGGACATAATTCAACCTACAATAATACCTTTTTCTAAAAATTGAGATGTAGTTGATATTTAACACTATTAGTTTTAGGTGTACACATAGTGATTTGATGTATGGATATACTGTAAAATGATTACCACAATCAGTGTCATGCTTATCACCACACTTAGCTACAACTTTTCCCAATTATAACTTTGAAAAAAAGAAATGTATTGACCAGCTTTATTTTTATACACTTAGTTATACCTGTATAACCTTAGATATTAATTGCTAAAATGTGATGGGCAGAGTTTAACCCTTGTCAAATTTTGAAACTTCTTCAATGCTTCTCCATATGGCTCTTCCAGGAAGATCACTTTGCCATCCCCATCTTTTTAGCCTCCATGCTTTTGCTCTACTGTTATTTTGAATGAATTAAATGTGTTACATACGTGAAAACATTAATCATTCAAAGTTATTGGTGGGCAGATATGTAGTGAACTAACTAGAATGAGCCCTGAAATAGCAAGCAGTTATTTCAGTTACATACTTGAAATTGCTATCCTTCTATAGTTAAGACCCAAGTTATGATGGAAGTGAAGTGGAAAATACTAGAAGTTTTTTTCTTTATTGAGGTAATATTGGTTAACAATACTGAATGTGCTTTAGTATAGGTTCACATCTCTTCAGGTGTATATTACTACCCCACCCCACCACCACCATCAAAGCACCCATAGAGATTTACACTAGACCATTGGGCCTCTTCCCTCACATGTTCCTCCAGCCCCCTTCCGCTTCTTCTAATACCCTCAATTGGATAATCAGATTTCTAAGTTTTGTTTTGGTTTAGGTTTGTCAGTTCCTCCCCTCTATACTCCACATATGAATGAAATCATCCAGTATTTGTCTTTCTCCAATTTCACTTAGCATTATTCCTTCCAGTTGTCTCAAATGGTAAGTGTTTATATTTTTATTCCATTGTCTATATGTACCACATCTTCTTAATTCACTGCTCTGTTGATGGGCATTTAGGTTGTTTCCATAACTTGACCATTGTAAATAGTGTTACAATGAAATAGGCATGCATATATCCTTGAATTAGTGTTTCTGTTTTCAGGTAATACCTCTGAGTGACATTGCTAGATCACATTGTATATTTATTTTTAATATTTTGAGGAACCTCCATACTGATTTCCATAACAAACGGATCAGTCACCAGTAATGTATGAGGGTTCCTTTTTCTCCACACCCTCGTCACCACTTGTTGTTTCTGGTCTTTGGGATTGGGCCGCTGTCATAGGTGTGAGGTGGTTAGACATTATAAATATTTTATAACAAGACATGGTACAGTCCCTGTAAAGGGTCAGGGGTAAACCCACCACTTTAGGATTTACACAGGTTTCTAATGATGAATAATAATTGTTTACATAGGAGAGAAGTGTTTGGGAAATGATCTGTTCTGACTTTAAATAATAAAGAGAAAACTCTGAGTAAAAGTGAATAGGAACAAAGAAGCAGCAGGATCTCCTTGTACGGTTTTGTTCCCTATCAAAGGAAAAAAAAAATTCCCTCCTCACTGTGGTCAGTCAAGCAAATGGGTTTTTTAAGCTGTTTTGAGAGGTCTTGATATTTAAAAAGCAAATGTTTTATAACACATAATATACATGTGATATATTTTCCCTCCTTCGACTTTCTATATTATCTTTACCTTTTCTGTATTAAATATTATAGTTCCCTGGTACTGAATTGCTCATGTGTGATCTTCCATATGGGCATAGTTCACAAGGTGGGTAAGATGCCAAGCAAGTCTATCTTTAAATTATATCTCACAGTGGAATAAAGATCTTTATTTAGAATATTAGTGAGAAAAAATTTAATAGTAAATGGAATTGGAACATTGTGAAGTAAATGCTGGAAAATATCTGAATCTGTGGTAACTGTAGAAGAGAAGAGATGGCTGCAGGTTGGGGGATGGAGAGGGTTTAGCTAATCTTGATTAAAGTCAGCAGGAAGTTGGTGATTATTGAATGATTCATTGATTGACTTCTCCCCCAACATGTAAACGGAATGACTTGTAGAGAGGACTGAAGTATACAGCAAAGTAGGTTAGGGTTTTCAGTCAGTGGTTAGTTAGGACATCATGAATTTGTCATAAAATTCACAAAACCATCTTTTTTTATTTGTAGTAGGAGCTTTTGTGGCATGCTAATTGAAGTGCTTCAGGCAACTGTGGAGCCTTTTGGTTTTATTTGATCTCATACCATTGTTGCTCTCTAACTTCCATTAATAAATGTTATATTGTGGTTGGGACTAAATGGAGCCTTAAAGGAAAATTGTCTTCTAGGTTTTTGAAATCAGTAAAATGTTTTAACTATTATGTTAATATCAGGATGTTTCTTGCTAAGAAGTTCCAAGTTCCTTAAACATATGCATTCAGTTTATCAATAGCCTTTAAAACTAATACATTTAAAGATCTAACGTCTTGACTTTGAGATAAGGGTAGACTGAAAGGCTTTCAGGTGACTGATGGTATCTCTGCTTTCTCTTGGGACCATGAGTAGACACGTTTATAACAATAATGTGAATACATGGCAGCCAGTCTAATGTGTGAGTTCAGAAATCTGTGAGCCAATATGTAATGGTGTATGGTGATGGTTTTGATTTTTAATGGGGTCCTCACAATATCTTCCTTAATGCCTTTTGATGGGATATTTTCACATTCATTGGAAAGCTTGGGCTGACTTGGCATATGTGCATACATACATAGTTAGGGTATCTATAAGTCAAATTGTTTTGTAACCTTTCTAAAAATCTGTTATAAATAAATGTTGTGGTGAGTGTAGTGATTCTTTTTTCAAAAAGTAAAGTTACAAGCTCAAAAAGCCACTTCAGAATATTTCTAAGTTCATTTGTATCACGGACAAATCTATAGCTAGACCATAAGAGAAAGCAGCATGGATACAGGGCAGGTTTTGAATATTTTACCCATTTAACATTTGCAAAATCTTGTGACAAGTGATTGTGTTACTAATTAACTTACCGTGTTTCACTATGTGATTGTAACTGCTCTAACAATATTGAATTCACATGTCCTATGTTATATTGAAGTACCACATATAAAAATCAAGAGCTTCTAAATTTTTTTCTTACAAATACTTGTCACATTAACTAAATCAATATTTAATTAAGGGTTTCTTCTATGGGGGTCCACTTGACTTTGTGAATAACCTTGAATGATTTGAAAAAAGATTAATGCAATAAAATATTTAATTGAATAAACTCTTCACAATTTATTGGATATATTACACTCCCTTTAAATGCTTGTTGCATGTAGTTTTGAAAATTTGTGAATAACCTTGAATGATTTGAAAAAAAGATTAATGCAATAAAATATTTAATTGAATAAACTTCACAATTTATTGGATATATTATGCTCCCTTTAAATGCTTGTTGCACGTAGTTTTTAAAATTTATATATAATTATATTTGTAATTCGCAATAGAGTTGACTGAGCTAATATGAACTGAATGGCAAATGGACAAATGTACAACTCTTAGATTATATTGCACTTCATAAATGCAGCAAGGTATAGTAAATTTTAAGTTGGGTGTTGACTGCTCTGCAAGCCGTAAAAACTAGATGAATTTTCAAGTCCAGTGCCTTTTTCACTTTATTTTGCTGATTATTTCCATTTTAATTGTTGCAGTGGGGTCCGATGAACTGGATAGCTACATGTATCAGACTGTGGGTCATCATGCCATTGATCTGTATGCAGAAGCAATGGCTCTTCCCCTCTATCGCCGGACCATAAGAGGAAGCAGCGTGGATACAGGACAAGTGTACACCAAATGTGAAGGTGATGAGGTGGAAGATCTCTATGAGCTTTTGAAACTTGTTAAGGTATGCAGAATGACCAATTACATTGACTGAATTTAGTATATAGCTTAGTAAGTTATATTACTGGCTTATTTTGTAATAGCCCAACTGTTTTTTGAAAGGATATTTTACTATTACTGTACCTTTATGTTAAATTTGGGTATAGTTTGGGACCCAGGATTGTCAAATAATATTTAACAAAGCTTTCTTTTCCTTACGGTATTGGAGCTAAATAACATTCAATCTTTTTTTTAACAAATACATTTTGAATGTCCATTAGTGGGCTTGGCATATGGTTCTAGACAATGTAGATAGGGAAATGAACAGATCTGACAAAATCCTGTTCTATTGGCACTACTTTCTAGTGGAAGGAGAGAGACAGTAATCAAGTAAATAAATAATAATATACTTGGTGGTAGAGGATAATTTGAAGAAGAATAAAGCAGAGTCAAGGTAATAGTGATTGATGGTGAGGGCTGACTGTAGACATGGAGCTCTACCAAGGCCTTTTTTTTTTTTTTTTTTTTTAAAGATTTATTTATTTATTTATGCAAGCACTGGGTACAGTCAGAAGCGTGGGAGGGTGAGAGAATTCACCAGAATCAGAGCGGAGAGCAGAGCAGGTAGACTGACAAAGTACACTGCTGAGGGGAGCAGCAGGCAGCAGGAGAGGTCTGCGCGCCATGTGGGACCCTCGCTGGTGGCCGGGGATCGAACAGGTGCTGCAGAGGCTTGCGGGCAGCTTCGCAGCCCAGCGCTCAACCACTGCGCCACCAGGGAGGTACCAGGGCCTTTCTAATACCATAAAATTTGAATACATTCAAAGAAAGTGAGAGACTTCGCCTTGCTTAAATCTATTACAAGAGGTATGAATTAAATGTTAACATCACTGGATATAAGAGTTTGACAGCCATTGTGCATTCATTGTTAATTTCTCTAGACAAAATTTAGGACAGAAAGTGTGGGGCTTATATATCTAGTAAGTACTATATCCCAGTAAATGTTAATTAGTAGATTACTTTATATTATGCAATTACCTTTTCATTCTCATTATAGCCAATTATTTGAATACAGTTCAGTATTTTTTTTTTCTTAAATATGAATTTTATCTACTCAGCTACAGTCAATTCATATAAGGTGTATCTGATGAAACAGAGAATTGAAGCCAATATTTCCTGGTTGTGTTAACGTTTCTTCACAAAGGAAAAAAAAGATTTTTGTCTCTTCCTCTCCCAAGAAATACTGCATTTCAGTATCTTATTTCAGAGAAGTTCGGCCTTTCTTAACTTATATCCTGAGCCTATGTGGTAAAATTTGCTAGTCATAGCTACTTCAATGCTATACTTTAAATTTGATGCTGATCATAGCTTGATGTCAATGAAGGATTTTGATTCAAAAATGTATGAAGCATATATATATAAATTTTCTACAGTGTCCTTTATTAAAATATTTCTTGGTATGTGAGAATGTTTTCATATTTATTTACCTATTAAAAAAGAAACTTACAGGGAAACATTTTGACTTGTTTCAATTTACTGTTTAGTTGTGGATAGCATAAGAAATAGATACTCGTCACAGAAAATCAGTTTCCTCCCTTGGGGAAGACACCTACTAAGAACAACTAGTTTGATAATCAAAGAAAAGGGGAAGGCATAAAAGAGTCCCACTTTTAATGGTCTTCTCTTCATGCAGACAACTGTATGATTTTGATAGTTTACTTTGAGTGAAAAGCCTTCATTTTTAAAATTCTATCGTCAGGGTACAAAGAAACCAAGTGAGTTTTTAGCATTAACCATTATTACAAAATGGTGGAACTCACACTAGAAGTTAACTGGGTTGCTTGAAAGTTACTGATAACAGATAACTTTAGAGAGGCTTTATCATAATAACAACCTTCCAGGAAAGGGAAAGTAATAAATTACAAATCAATTTAATTAAAAATGGGTAGATTAGTAGTAATTAAGAAGAAATTTCCCTTTCGATCCATGCTGTCTTTATAGAAATGGATGGTTTGCCATTATCTTTATAGTAACAGTCAGTTATGACATAAATTATTGCTAATGTTAACTCTTGACAACTTTGCTTTGGAAGTTCATACATGATAATTACTATAGTTGAAAGAGATGTTATGAAGTTGTCTGGGACTAAATAGTTCTGTCTTTTTCTGTGTGGAAATACTAATTCTAATATTGGATATTGTAAGGACATAAATATCAGAAATATATTACCTTTATGGAAGAGATTGTATAGTGAGGCTTTTATAGTTAAATCCATTTATGCAAAGATTCTAATAGAGGTCTTACAGATTCTAATGAATAATTGAGTAATTATAGAACAAACAAATCTTGAAGGGCTATACTTCTTTAAGTTTGACTTCACTCTTTCTAAAAAAATGATGGAACTGCATTTTTTTAATCCTTTGAATATTTATAGAGCATTGAAAGCATTTAGATTCATTTTCATTTTAAACATTTATTTATAATAGATTGCAGTTGTGTGACTTTCACATTCAATCTTTTGTTTTTGAAGCTCTTTCTACCCCCAAATATGAGAACTAATTTTTAAGTAGGAGATGTTCTTTTTTGCAAAGAGTCAACTAACTGTAGAAAATAATCAGGAAGGAATTGAAAGAGTTTACAGAGTTATAAGTTTCCTAACTTTTGCAAAAGTAATGACAATAGATGCAATTATTATCCTTTATAGCTCATTGATTACCAGGTAATTATGACAGGTAGGTGTTTGTGTGTGTGTGTGTGTGAGTGTGTGTGTGTGTGTGTGTGTGTGAGAGATCTGAATTCCCTAAGTTCAGTTATGATAGATATGTATTTCTGTCTATATCTCTATCACCCATCCATCCATCCACCCATAGTTATTTGCAAATTACCTGGTTTTCATATCACTAGTCTTTCATTTATTCTTTACAGTGTCTTTAATATTATAATGCCACTTTCTGATTCTCAGCTGGATTAATTTGCCATATAGATGACCTGAATATGTTACCTTCTTATTGTCGTAACCATTTACAACACTGTGTAGTTTTCTCACTTTAGCAGCTGTATACATCACCCCTTCTAGCCCACAACCATAAACGGTTCAGTCACTCTCTACCAGCCACCGAGTGTCCCCCTCCTCCCCTCCCCCCTTCTGGAAACCACCATTCTGAGATAACCTATATTATTTCCTGAAAATATGGTAATTTAAAAATTCTGTGTGTTTTCTCTTTAAGTCAAGTAAGCAGTGTAATAGTTACTACAGAAAACATAAGCAGTCTGTCTCTATGGAGAATAATTATTAACTATAATCTAAATATAAGTTTGGCTTCAGGTAAACTAATACAGAATACAAATTATCTAATCAAAGTCCTTTTCCCCTGCTTCTATCTCTTGTCTCCACTTTCTGTTGATTCTGGTCTCAGCGAGGACCCGTGTTTTTAGAAGATGTTCCTGATGCAAATACAGTCAGAGAAGCACCTTCTAACTAGAAGCTTTAAATAGCTCAAAGGAAAATTTAATTATGTTTTATCATCATTCGCTGGCCCGATGTGTCTCATCCTTGAGCCAGTCCTTGTTGGGAGAAGATTTCTCTGATTGGGCAGACTGAGATCAAGTGCCACTCCTGAGTGCAAGGGATGGAGGCATGATTGCTGGACTCACACATACTGTAATTCTGTGGGACCAGCATAACCCACTGTGGGGAGGGTGAACCCCCACATATAAACCAGATGGCTACTGGTAGCAGGGTGAACTGTGGCAGGGGAGCAAGAAGCAGCAAGTCTCCTGAGAAAAAACAGGTACGACTGCTCACAAACTTGGGAACCGTTCTAATGGTTCTCCTCTTGGGCCTCCCTGGTGGCACAGCCTCTGCAGCCCTGGTTCGATCCCCGGCTGTTCCCGGGCCACCGGAGGAGGGTCCCACATGGCGTGCAGACCTCTCCTGCCGCCCGCTGCTCCCCTCAGCAGTGTACTTTGGTCCTTCTGCCTGCTCTGCTCCCTGCTCTGGCTCTGGTGAATTCTCTCACCCTCCCGCGCTTCAGACTGTACCCAGTGCTTGTATAAATAAATAAAAATAAATCTTTAAAAAATAAATAAATAAATGGTTCTCCTCTTGTGTCCCTCCCAGTCTTCCCCCTGCCCATCCTTCTCCCTTCCGCTTCCCTCCTCCCTTCCCTTTCTTGTTTTCTTTTTAAAATAGTTGAGCACTGAAGCCACACAGTGAGCTTATTCTTTAGGACCAGTGTCTCTAGTTGCTCATGATTTCTCCACAGTAGATCTCTAGGTACGGTGAACTCAGTAACGTGTAAGTTCGAACTTAGTAAGTTCAAAATTTGTTCTCTTTCTGCACACATTTCTCATTTTCTTGTATTTCCCTTGTAGTTAGAAACATCATCACTCACCCATCACTAAAGTCTAACGTTTGTCTCACTACTAATTAGATTTCCACTTTTTTCTCAGTCCATTCTACCACAACCACCGCCATTTGATTTCTAGGACCTATTGCTATTACCTCTGTGATTTCTGAAATCTAATCCTTTGGCTTCATTACCACCATTGCCCGTTTTTCACCTGTACTGACAGGGTCTCCTAACCGGCTAACTTGACTTCAGTCTTGCCCTGTGCTTTATCCAGCCTTTCAACCAAATTGTCATCAGCTGACTCGCATAAATATTTAACCCACTATTAACACATAGTCGGAACAGATCAGCCCGACACGGTATCTTTTAAAGGAGGTCCTTGCATTCCTACCAGTCAGATCCTGTTATTCCCACACAAACTTCTGAGTTCAAGTTATAAGGAACTGATTACATTTCTAGGAGGTTGCTTTGTATGTCTGCGTCTTAGCTTGTGCCTTTCTCTACCCTTCTCTCTTTGTCCTCTTGAAAAACCCCTTCTCATGCCATACCCTTCTAAGAAATCAGCTCCAGTTTATCTTCTTTTTTCTTCCATGTCAGCTTGTCTATACCTACATAATGGTTCTCAGGACATTAGGATTGCTTATGTGCTGTCTCTCTTGCTATGTTGTGAGCCCCTCAAAGACATATTCAGTTTTCCTCTTTTTTTATATCGCTAGTGGCCGGCAGTTTCTCAGCAAGTGGATGACTATTAAAGGATTGTCGAACAAATTAATTTAGTTCAAAATTTAAGCAAATTAATTTTTTTATTTAATCACTGATCTAATACAGGCGAGTCACAGCATTGTTACAAAATATGATAATAGAACCATTGATAACTTCACTTTATTATCTTTTTTCTATTAGAATTTTAAGTGAAATGCGTATCATCATGAAACATCTCAGAGTAAGGTATCCTATGAGATTTGGCAGTGTATCCATTAAATTGATCAAGAATAATGTCCACCTACAGAATATTTTATAAAAATGCTGAGTGGACAGTTTTTCAAGTTATTTCTGGTGTCTGTAATCTTAGTTTATTTTAGTAGAAATTTACTTTGTGTCTCTCTTTCACTTTGGATCTTGGGGAGAAATCCTAGATCACTGGGTGGCTCTGAAGCAAATCTAAAGGACTGGAAATGGGAGGAACATATAAAATGGCCTTAGGCTTTACAGGGAAGACCCAGACATAGTGCTAATTAAACAGGCATGTCGCCTTGTACAGATTGCTCCTGGCTGTTCAGCACTGCACAGCTTGCCTTAAGCCCTCTTAATTCCCAAGATTTTGGACATTAAACCTGGTCCCCTGGCACAAGAAACAGCTTTCTAATGCTGATTCTGGACTCCAAACAGGAAGAGTTGGAATTAAAACAGACCAGTGTCAGTTGCATTACCAGGTGTGGCTTAGAGGCTATGCATTCTCTGGTCTGTTCAGATGATAAAGTCAAGTATGCATGTGAAAGCACATGATGGATGGTCTGTCTGGAAATAAAATGTTGGATCATACCAGTTTTTACAGTTTATAAACTTATCACAGATGTAGAGTTTTTATAGATGTCCCCTAAAGCCTAGGAAACGTGATTCTCTCTTTCTGGCATAACTATCATCCTGTCTCCTCAACCTTGAACTTTCTCCACTGGGTTTCAATGATGGTGTGTATATATTGCACATACTCCTATATATATTCTGCCTCCCCGTAAAGTCGTAAAGTCACCAATTGACTTACTTTTATGTTCTTCTCTTCCTTTCTTCTATGAACTATAGATTTCTTCCTATCTTATCATTTTCGCTATATATTTTAAATTGTGTTGGGTATGTTGACTAGTCATTCAAAGTATCTTTCTTTGTGCTTTTCAACCTGTGGTATCTGTGTGCTGTTGACTTTTGCTCTTTTTCTTTTTTTTTTTTTCCCCTGACTATGTTACCATTTATTTTTCTAAGAAACCTTCTGTAGATGTCTGCTTCTGGAGTTGTGTTGTGTCAGACACTATATGTTTATATGTTTCTATCCTACTCTTTCATTTCTATGCCTATAGTCTACCTTATCTTTATTATAGTCTGTTAATTTAGAGACTTTATTATAGTCTCTAATAATGAATGAGATATACTGCCAAGATTGACAAGTATGATTTACTTGTCAATTCCTTTGTTGTTGTCCTTATTTGGGGGGGGGGCAACTCTTTACTGGTGGTCACACACCAATATGTGAAACTGATCTTTTATATCTTTTTTCCCTTTTAAATTGGGAACATTATTATTCACCAAACTCATAGTGCCTACATTGTAAATACATAAAAAGTAATATAAGAAGAAATATCAATAAGTACCCAGAGTTTTTATTGATAAGAGATGACTTAACAGTGACTTATTTTGTGACATGCTGATTTGAGAAAAAAAAAAAAAACTGAATAAATTAAAAAGATGTCTTGAGTTTTCCTATCAACTTTAACCTATATCCTATCATTAATAGACTTTTCTTACCTTTCATTTGGTGAACATTTATTGAGTACTTCTGATGTTCCAGTACTGTACCGTGCTGTGAAGTAAAAGCAGTGTGACACATTAAGTCTCTGCCTTCATGAATCTGAGGAAATAAGACATATACACAAGAAAATAATGCACAGTAGATTTGCCATTAGAGTGCATCATTAAAGGGGTGAAGGGATTCAGGGTAGAGCAGTGCTCCCTGGATTGAAGAGTCAGGACAACCCTTGTGGGGGAAATTGCACTTGATTTCCTTGAAAGTTGTTTGGATTTTGAGAAACGGAGATGACAGAATGGCCAAGAGAATGTTGCAAACTAAGGGTAGAGCTTAGCCAAAGTCACAGAAGTAGGAAATCATGAATACATAAGGGAAATCCTATGTGGTTCAGTTTGGCTACAGCTCATAGCTTAAGTATGAGTAGGAAAGAAATCTGGAAAGATTGAGCATTTTAAATTGTGGGCAAATGTACCATGAGGTGGTATTTTCCAAACTCATTTAAGTGGGTCTCAACCATTTTTTTTCTTTAGATGAAATAGACTAGAAGAAAATAGAAAATATCAAAGTGTGTGGATACTGTGATTACTATTCTGTGTGAAGTGTGCGTGTGAGTATGTACACATGTGTATCGCATTTTATATATAATTTTTTATTGTTAAACAAATGGTTGTGGTTAAACAAATTTGAAAGCTACAACCTTGAGGGACTTTGCAGGACAAATAACAAAATTGTAAGACTGAGGGGGAACTTCAAGGGACTCAGTATGAACCATTGTAAATGCAAACAATGGGTTAGAGAACTGGAATTTGGGAGACAGGAGTTCAGATTGAAAACTGAGTTACTAAACTAGCTAAAAAGTTTTGAGGACTGGAATGGAGGAAGAACAGTAGAAGAGATGAAGTGTGAACATTGAAGAGGTGGCTTGAAAAGTCTTGATTTTGGTATTTAAGTAAAAACTGACCAGGACTCTATGAAAGGCACCTTGTAAATTAGCCTTAGACAAGGCTAATTTGTTTGGTGTTCTCTCGGCAGTATTGATTACATGAATTATAGCTGCTATCCATTACAAATATCATCACCCTAGATTTTATAGTATTCTATTTTTGTCATGTCTTTAATCTGGTATAAGATGGTGCAGAAGATGTTTCATATCAATCTGGTTTCATTTAGTCAGAATTAACTCTTTTTTTTTTAATTAATAAATTTTATTTTTATATTCCCCATACAATTGCAATCCCCCCATTCTGACCCCAATCCCTCCCCTCCCGCCCCCCCCCCCAAAAAGTGTCTCTGGTTCATAGTTTTTGTTGATTTTGATTTTCACTTTCTTATAGTTATTCATTTTCCTGGTCCCTTATTTAAGTTTTCTAGATTCCTGCTATGAGTGAGACCATCCGGTATTTTTCTTTTTCTTTTTGGCTTATTTCACTGAGCATGATCCCTTCCAGCGCCATCCATGTTGCTGCAAATTGCATGTGTTTATCTTTTTTGAATGCTGAGTAATATTCCATGGTATATATGTACCACATCTTCTTGATCCAGTCATCTATTTTTGGGCATTTGGGCTGTTTCCAAAGCTTAGCTATTGTAAATAGTGCTGCTATAAACATAGGGGTGCAGGTGTTCTTTGGAATTGATGTTTCTAGAATTAACTCTTAAGTGTTAGTGTTGATGGTCCTTTTAATTGAACATTTGACATTTTCTTCATGGAGTTACATGTAGTATACATCAACTAAAGTATTCTTGTTTCTTGACTTTAAAAGCATCTAGTACAGATTCACAGAAAGAAGCAAAATATATGATATTACATTTGACATTCAAGTTGGGATAATTTGAATCCCAAATTATCATAGCAAATACATTGAAAAGTTATTTACCAATAATCGGAAAAATATAAAATCTTTTCTCCAGTTTTATTCAATGTAATTGACATATAGTCTAAGTTTATATACACATTGACTTGATACATTTATATATTTCAGAATGATTGTCACCATAGCATTAGCTAACATTTTCATCTCTTCACTTAATTATGAGTATTTCTTTTTTTGCCTTTTTTGCTTTACCTTTAAGACTTTATTTCACTTTTTTTATTCTTTATTATTTTTTAATTTTATTTTATATATATTTTTACATCATTTTTCATTTTTGCACAATGTATGCATTTTCATCTTGGTTATATTCCCCATACAATTCCCACCCCTTCCACTCCCCACCCCCTCCACCCCCTACCCCCCCACCCCCATAGTGTGTTTCTGGTTTATAGTTGCTTGTTGATTTTTAGGGGTATTTCTTTTTGCTGTGGAAACATTTCAGATTAACTCTTTTAGCAACTTTCAATCATATAATAAAATATTATTAGTTACGATCACCATGTTGAACATTAGAGTTCCAGAATTGTTAATCATGTAATTTTGTTAATTTTATAACTAACTTTTACCCTTTCACCAAAATCTCTCCATTTCCCCCTCCCCAGCCTCTGGTAACCTCTGTTTCTCTGAGTTTGACTTGGGATTTCACATGTAAGTGATAATCATGCAGTATTAGTCTTTCTCTGTCTATCTTATTTCATTCAGGATAATTCCTTCAAGGTTCATCAAAGTTTGTCACAAATGGCAGAATTTCCTTTCCCATGACTGAATAATATTCCATTGTGTATAAAATATTCCATCTATATGCATACATACAACTTATACCAAATCTTTATTCATTCATCATTGATGGATTAGATTGTTTCCCTCTCTTGACTACTGTAAATAATGCTGCATTGAACATGGGAGTGCAGGTATCTCTTTGAGATAGCTATTTTAGTTCTTCAGAAATAGATCCAGAAGCAGAATTGCTAGATCTTATGGCATATCCTGTTTTTTTAATTTCCATTTTGCTTTCCAGAGTGACTCCCACCAACAGTGCAAGGGTTCCCTTTTTTCCATTCCCCTGACAACACTAATCTGTTTTCTTTTTGTTGAGTGATTCTAACGTATGTGAGGTACTATCTCACTGTGGTTTTGACTTGCATTTCCCCAATGATTAGTGTTGTTGCTCACCTTTTCCTGTATCAGTTGCTGTTTGTATGTCTTTGGAAAAATGTCTATTTAGTTCCTTTGTCCATTTTTTAATTTGGTTGTCTATGTTTTTGTTGTTGTTATGTTGTATGAGTTCTTTATATTTTTGGATATTAATCATTTATCAGATTTATGGTTAACAAACATTTTCTCTCATTCTCTAGGTTGTCTTTTCCATTTTTTGGTTGTTTCTACTCTTAATGGTTACCTTTTTGGTTTTTGGATTGAACCTGGCTTTAGGTTTATAATTAATTCATCTCTTATATTTCACTTAAGATTTTTCTTCAGTCTCTCACTCTCTATTACTTACCCTGCAAACTCCTGCCAGATTAATCTTTCTAAAGTGTATATATCCAGTCACATTTGTCTCTTCATCAAATTTGCATTGCTTACTAGTGACCTATTATGTTTTGTCTTTTCCCAGTATTTCCCTTTATGGAACTTATACTACACTTAAACTAGATTATTATCAGAACTCTTTCCCTACCCCTTCCCCATAGGCCATGACTTCCCTGCATAGTGCTATATTTTAGTCAGAAATACCTCTCGTCAGGGCCTCCCTAATGACGCAGGGGTTAAAGATGCGGCTCTATCAAGCTATCACCTGCCATTGGGTGTGAGTTCGATCCCCAGCCAGGGAAATAAACTTTTTTAAAAAATTAAAAAAAAAATTAAAGGCATTGTGCAAAATGTCTGACCAGTGCCCCTCAAAATTGTCAAGATTATGGAAAACAAGAAAAGACTGAGAAACTGTCACAAACTAGAAGACACTAAGGATGACTGTGTTAATACATCATATGTGATAAAGACCTAAACTATTAAGGAAAAGGTGATCTTAGAAGGCTGGAGTAAAAGTGATCAACACTTGCATTACATAGAAAAATAAAATTTTGGATAAAAGATACTTAATCCATCTAAAATTTTCATATGTGAGAAAATTCTCTAAATGGTTATCCACTTCTCTACCAGTTTCTTATTGAAAGAACCTGTTTTTTTTCCTATCCCTTTTGCTATAAAATTACTATACCTCCCACATGAGGCCTTGTAACCAATGGGAGACCAGAGTGGAAAGACTGATATGACTGAATAAAGTCGAGTGTATTTACTAATAATGTTGGTATTTTAGTTTTGACAAATGCAATGTGGTAATTTAAGATGCTAACATTGGGAAAATAAAGATTTGTCACAAAAAAAATTGTATACAAGAGAAATCGCTCTGGGGCCTCCCTGGTGGCGCAAGGGGTTAAGTTGCAACCTATGAAGCTGTCCGCAGCCACTGCATGAGTTCAATCCTTAGCCAGGGAACTACCCACATGGCGCAGCAGACATCTCCTTGCTCACCTGCTGCTCCCCTCAGCAGTGTATTTCAGTAGATCCCCCTGTTCTGCTCCCTACTCTGTTTCTAGTGAATCCTCTCATCCCTCTACACCTTTGACCTACACCCAAGTTCTCGTATGCATAAATAAATCTTTAAAAAAAATAAAAGAAATACCTCTCTTCAGTTCCTGACCTACCAAGATATGGCCTCACTGAACGAAATAGCTTCCTCTCTGGCACCTTCATATTACATTGTATTTCTCTTATTTTGTCTTTAATTTGTCTTTATATTCAGAGCTCCTGTCTTATTTGTTTATCTTGTGAATTTTGTTTTAAGATTATAAATATCTGAGAGACAAGAATTATATTTGGTTCTTTTTTTCCCTTATGGACTCCATGCAACTCTTGGACTATAAGACTATTGTGTTCAACTGTACCTCTTGAAATTCAGTTATTCTATCAGTAAAATGTAGATATGTCTCTCCTATTGTCATATCTGTTTTGGAATAAATAAGAATTTATATGAAAATCTCTATAGGTTTCTAGAAAGAAAGATGCTATATCAATTAGGTTTTTTTTTTTTTCCCCGTACCCTGTAATTCATGTCATTATCAGGTCTTCTTTCTCTATCATTCCCTAGTTTCCAAAATAATCCAATAAAGCTGTATAAAA